AGTGTGTTATCTGAGATGAGGAGCTAAGGTTATTAGAATTGAAATTATTTTAATGGTAGCAGGTTCAAAAATCCGAATTTTAATGAAAAACTCTAATGTGCATAATGTGCCGATTTTAATAAATGCTTCCCAGTATATTATTTCTCAGTTTGCCTCCTTGAAAAATTAATTTATGTCCTCACAGAAATTCAGATCAAGGTAAAAAGCATTGTTCAGGTTTTTTTCTTGGCTTGGTGTAGGAGGAAATACATTAAGCCAAAGAATTTTGAAAGCTCTAATTGCTTCTGCTAGAGGAATGTTTTTTTTCTGGATTAATCTGTGCAATATAAAAATCAAATCAAACAAGGAAAAAAAAAAACCCGCTTGAAATCTATTCCTTCTTCTTGAAGGTGTAAACTCTTAGCAGTTTGAAACTTCAGGATATCCAGTAGCAAAAAATGTTTACATCAGTGGCTGAGTAGTTTAAGATTTTTAACTCTGTGTATTTCAATAGGTGTTCATGAGAAACAAGAAATTAAGAAAAAGAAAAATGAGAAAGGAGGATCAAGTAGTGCAACACATCTGCCAGCTGTGTCAGCTTCAAAACCTTCTGCTGATCAGATAAGGCAAAGCGTCAAACAGTCTCTTAAAGAAATTCTGATGAAAAGGTATAAATATATTATCAAATGAAAATATTAATTTGTGTTCATATTTTCTTTAAGAAAGATGGAGAAAAAAATACTATGTTTTTGAAAGTATTTGGTAATTTTTCCACTTCCTTTTATGTTCTCTCGCAGATTAACAGACTCCAATTTAAAAATTCCTGAGGAGAGAGCAGCAAAAGTTGCCACAAGGATAGAGAAAGAACTGTTTTCTTTCTTTCGTGACACTGACTCAAAGTATAAGAACAAATACAGAAGTTTAATGTTCAATCTAAAAGATCCCAAAAATAATGTATGTATTATTTGTGTGTAACACTTTACAAAAGCCATTCATTTGCAGTAGATTAAAGGAACAATCTTTTGTCTGAATACGTTATTAATCTTTTCATGATTTCCCCTCTTTTTCTAAATGTCTCCTCATCTCTCTGAGTTCAGTGTTTTTGTTCTCTTCTTGCACACGCAATATTCTCTCTGTTCATTTCTCCTTTTTAACGAATCATTTATTCTGCAACTCCTTGACCCTGCTCTGCTTTATAGTAGGTTTACAAAATGAAGTGTGGATATAGCTTGCTTCTTTACTATTGGTTTGTTCTTTTTCCTGTAGTCTTACTTCCTATGCTGCTTATGTTTTCATCCAGAAGCTTTTCACTGCACTTTTTCATACCCCGATTTCTCAAATTTGGTCTTCTCTCTGTTTAAAAAAAAAAAAAAATCGTTACTAGACTACATCACTTTTATGCTTTCCAGGAGCCTACTTTTCAGCATCATAGTCATCATCCTAGAAACTCCTCTCACAGGCTTCTCTTGTTTGCCTGTACCGCTAAATTATGTTAGAATTTTTTCTGCTAAGAATTGGCTAAGTCAGTCAAGAAGCACAGAGATCTCTTAATGCTAGCTTCCTCCTGTGTAATACAGGAGATTTGCGCCTTAAAAAAAGAAGTTTGAATTACAGCTGTAGAAGGCATAATGAATTCATTTTCTCTTTTGGAGCAACAGTTAATTTTACATCCGATCATTAAGCATTAACAAATTTGTTTTCATATACACTCTGTTATATAGAATAAACAGTAGACTCTGGAATTAATTTTTTTTTTCTTAAAGAAAAAATTAGCAGCGCTTCCTGGAGTGTGAAATAATTATATGCAACACCTGATCTATGTAGCTGTAGGTACTGATATCAAGAGAAGAGCGTATTGTACGTTGCCTTTCTACTGTCTTTCCTACTTGACTATTACTAGGAGCCAGTTTCGTTTTGATAGCAGTAGTTAACTTTTCTTCTTTCTTTTAGATATTATTTAAGAAAGTACTTAAAGGAGAAGTTACTCCAGATCATCTGATAAGAATGAGCCCAGAAGAACTGGCTTCCAAAGAACTGGCTGCTTGGAGACAAAGAGAAAACAGACATGTGAGATTGATCAACTTCTGCTTAGCTGGCCGCCTAAGAATATTTAACTTTTGTTTTCAGGTTGCATGTGTTTAGAAAGAGCAGAATGCGTGTTGCAGAAAGCAACTCTGACTAGTCAGGAGGACCCCTGTATTCTATTTAGTATTCAAAAAACAAAGAGAGGATGTTGGTGCAGAAGTTGAAGCAGCGTGGTAAATTCCTGCAAGACAGAAACCCTTGTATTTTCCCGTGTCACAGAGTTGTTTTGCTGCTCTTTCTTTCACCTCAAGACCGAAGACACCTCTGTTTCGCCTTTAAAGCAAGACTTTAAAGCTCCAACAGGAGCTTTAAACCAAAGAAACCAAATTCTTAGCGAGAGAGAGAGCTCTCTTCTGACAAACCAAGCCTAACTGGAGAAGAGTTAATAATAAAAATGTCTTCAGCTCTTGGAAAGTTAGAATTGCCAATTTAAGCTTAGAGTTGAAGATCTGCTTCATACTTTGTTTAATTTTAGGTGAAGTTTGACCTGTTGGGATTTGTGTATTTAAATTTGTTTTATAAAACTGCTAGACACTTGCAAAATAAGAATGCTTTTTTGTCCTCCACAATTTCCTAACTGCAGTCCTTTTCCTGTTGTTATATTTGCGGGTTTCCAAATTTTACTGTATTATCTGAAAGTACATATATGTAACGTGCTGTTTTTACAGACAATTGAAATGATTGAGAAAGAACAGAGAGAAGTTGAAAGAAGACCTATCACAAAAATCACTCACAAAGGGGAAATAGAAATAGAGAGTGAAACACCAATAAAAGAACAGGAAGAAGTTATGGAAATCCAGGTAAGAAAAGAAAAAGCAGCATATTTAGTTCATTAAAATTACATTATTTAAGCAATTTGTTTATAATACTGTTGTTAAGATCTGTATCTTAATTGTTTATTTTTGATACATTTTGAATTTAATTTTTCTTTTATCCTCATTGACTTTCACTTCTGAATTTGGGTTTTCTTTTGTTTGTTTTCTATGTTGTGTTCATGCCTGTCTGAATTCTAGCAATAGCAGAAAATATTCTAAATCTTACCTAAAAGAAACTTGGGAATATCAGTTCAGTACTTTAATTCATTTGTACTTTTTGTGATATCCTTTTAGAAAAATGAAAAATCGAGCTGAAGAGAGAATTTTATGCCTGAAAGGAAGAAAATATTGAAAAAAATTAAGCAATATGGATAGTAATATTAAGAATTTTAACAAAGGAAAAAGTTAACTGTAATGTGTTTGACTTTCCTTAGGAACCTAATATGGTGAAGTTGTTGGAGAAGTCAGAGGAAGCTGAAAAAGATAAAGAAGTAAATGAATCTGCATCTCCAGACACCACAAGTCAACACAAAAATCATCTCTTTGATCTGAATTGCAAAATCTGCATAGGTAATTTTGAAAAGCATATTAAAATAAATATATCACAGTTGTATAGTGTTTTTCAATCATAAATCTCAGTATACCTCAATAATGTAAACAGATGTTTTTGTCTCCAGTTTACAGACTAGGATGTGGAAGCAGTATGCTCTTTTATTATTTACAAAAAGAGTCAATTTTAAAATGATAGGCTATTGGCATAAAGATGTCATCTATTTAAAAAAAAAAAAAAAAAAAAAGACTGCAGACAGAGAAAGAAACCCTCTAAATGGGTGCTATAATCCTGCTGTATTTACTTCCACATGTCTTTATCCTATTCAACTGCAATGGCAATATGCTGTATTTTTCACTGCAACCTCCATGTCTTCAGAGAAAATCCACTTTTTTCTTTAATTAAAAATAAATATCCCTCCAATTCATTCTCTCTAGGCCGAATGGCGCCACCTACTGATGATCTTTCTGCGAAAAAAGTGAAAGTGTCTGTTGGAGTTGCACGTAAACAGTCAGACAATGAAGCAGAAAGCATTGCAGATGCACTTTCTTCAACATCAAGTATTTTAGCTTCAGAATTATTGGAAGAGGATAAACAAGACTTATCAAAGTCGTCATTCTCATCTCTCCCAAGGTAATAAAAAACTGTGGAAGTATTTTTAAGTGAAAGATAATATTCCTCTCATTAATCTATTGTGAGAAAAATTCAAATTTTTTTATGGCATTTCATAATCCCCTTGTGTACTTGAAGTTGCACAGCTCTTAGGAATGGGGTTATTTGCTGGAGTAAATCATGCTGTGCATTTGTGTAAATAATATCGCTTGTATTGCTGTGATTACTGTCTTAATTCTCACGTTTCCCTTTGGGCAAAATAAGCTGCCTTACGTTTGCTGGTGCAGAGATGCTTATAAATAATGACATATGGGTTCATATTAAGAAGGTCAGAATTAAGATTTCATATGTCTTCATGCTATTAAGGAACATGGTATGTACAGTGTTGCAATTGAATGAGTGTATGTGTGTGTGTATGTGCATGTGTCTGTTTGTATCTATATATGTGTACATATGAAGTTAGGTAATTAAATGTCTGTATTCCAGACATGTAAAAGATTGATTAATCAGGCTAGTTTCAAATCTCAAAACAATACTTTTCTAGAAAAGACAATCATAAACACTGAAAAGTGTAGCATTTATTTTTTACTCTTTATCAATCAATGTCTATTTGTATTGACCCAGTTACTCCTTAAAAATGTTGCCCCAAATTAACTGTTACGCAGTACCGTGGAGCTGATGCCATGCAGTTAGCACTAATGTCCACAGTCTATGTCAAGGAGGTCAAGGTGGCTGCACTGGAGATCTTTTCAGTGTGAAAAGCTGGAACTGAGAGGGGGACTTCCTTCTTCCTCGTTTTACTTTGTTCTTCGCTGGTGTTTTATGCTCACTGTATCCTCCGCAGAAAGAAAAGAGAAACAAGGACGATCTCATCTGTTCCCGACACAGTTTATGAGATTTTTACGGTTGCTCTGGTTTTGCCAGGCATCCTTTCTGCTCATTCTGCAGGATTATTCTGGTTCTACCAGACCTCTCTCCTGCCTGCCTCGTTTCCTTTGTTGTTGTCTTGCAGATTTTACTGTTGTTTACATATGTTTCCTGTACCCCATTTATGAAACTAAGCCAGGAGTCTTTATTTGCAATTACAGATTATACGCTTAACTGTGTTAAATAAATGATTACGTTCAATTGCCTGCGTTAATGTGCTTCTGTGTCTATTCAAGGCAAGCAAATACTCGTTACATCTTGTTTAGTATGTTCCTATGTTATGGAACAGGCAACAGGCCTTTGCTTTAGCTACAGTAGTTTCTGGCACAAATGTGTTTTAAAGAATGGTGGAGTTAGAATAATATTGAATGCAATATATTACCGTATCCACTCTGCAGTGCCATTAGCGTTTGTGTCCATTTTAATAGCCTTTAATAACTCTTAGAATGGGGAAATTTTCCATGCTTAAAGGATGCATTACTGAGCTGATGTGCTCTGTTTCACTGGAAAATGAGAAATACAGTTGTCTGTCTGTCTGTCTGTTGTCCATACTTGAACCGCAAGTAGGTTCAACTGAAAAGGAAAGTTCTTAATCAGACATAATTTCTTTTACAGGAGATCATGGCTTACATGATCTTAACGTTATTATATATAATGTTTTAGACAAAGTTTTTGTTTTGTCTTTGTCGTTTTTAGATCAGAAACACCTGGTACTGTGGAAAGTGAAACACTGTTTCTGGCACGCCTGAATTTCATCTGGAAGGGTTTTATCAATATGCCTTCTGTGGCAAAGTTTGTTATTAAGGCCTACCCAGTCTCTGGCTCTTTTGAGTATTTAACGGAGGTATTTATATTTACTGTAAAGAATGAACAGTTCATTTATTAAATTGAATCACTAATTTGTTTACCTTATGGACTAGTAATAGTATAATGATGAAAAGCAGTGAAGCATGATGCTGAGTAAAGTACTTGTGGGCTGAAATAGGTTAGGTAGGGTTTATGTATTTAGTACTCAAGTATGTTTCGGTATACAAATGGACCCTTGATTCATCAGGTTTTAAGTTCTCTGTTGTCTTTCAGGATGTCTTGCTCTTGTGTGTTTTGAGGAGAGCAGCAGTATTTCCAGAGCTGCTTTTATGAAGGTTTAGTTGTGTTTAGTTTATCATGGACCGTCTTCTGTAGTATAGGAGTAAAAGGGAAAGGTGGGACAGAATTTGCCATCAAAATAACCATTGTTGTAGCATCCATTTCCTGAATTAGAGATGAGAAAATGATAGCTGTTTTGAACTCAAAGCATTAAATGAGCCAATATATGTGAGGTTTTGGGTTTTTTTTTCTCCTCTCAAGGGAAAAGTGTCCATGCTGGTGGTTGCTGTTGACAGTGCAAGTTATCTTCTACAATAGAAAACTATATAACTCTTAACTCCTGTATAACAGGAGTTTTATCTTTTTCTAACCTGGTGGCAATTTCATCTTAATTTTCAGTTATAAGACTGAATTGACCTTAGGGGGGAAAAAAAAAAAAAAGGTTTATGTGGTGTTCTCACAATCTGGGAGGCAGGAAAAGGATGTGAGTCTTTAAGAGTTGTCTTTGTGAGATGACATAAAGATCAAAGAGGTCACAGGGCTCAGTGTTACTTCTCACCGGTGACATAGGATGCGTCAGCTTTCTAATTAGAGTTAGGTCTTCTATTAATGTGATTTTATTTACTTTGCTATAAATAGTCAGTGAAATGCAGGGCATACAGTACTCTTTAGTACTAAAGGATTATTTTACAAACGTAATGTTCTTTACATTAACTCTTCTGCTTTATTTCAAAAAACTATTTTCTTCTAAGGTATTACTAAATGATTCTGGAAGTCTGCCTATGTCGCTTGTGAATAATGAACTTGATAGCGTCCAAGAACAAATCAGTGCCTATATATACGCATGTGTGTAGGTTATGTTTTTCCCTTGTGATTAAGATTTTAAAATAGTTCGTTTTATTTCTTGATAGGCTTAGGACTCTCACAGCAGTTCTTAAGTATCTTACAGATACTTAAGCAATTACAGAGCAAAGTAACAGTACATTTGCAGTTAATGTTACTGGAGTAAATAACTGTCGGGGAAGGTTAGAGGGAATAGTATTGAGTGATAACTAATTTATTACAAGTTGTTGACTTCATACTGAAAATCCTAATTTAAGCATCCAAAATTTAATGTGAATTCATTTATTTCTTTCTACTGCTGTAAATTCTACTGACACTTTAAAATCTATAATTCCAGAACTGTAAGAATTAAGTATATTCTGAATATATGAAATAGATAGCAGATTTTTATCATTCTTTCTCATAGGATTTACCTGATAGTATTCAAGTAGGTGGCAGGATATCTCCTCACACTGTCTGGGAGTATGTAGAAAAAATCAAAGCTTCAGGGACCAAGGTAAGAAATTTTACATATTGAATGCTTAATATTTAACACACTTCCTGTTCACCCTAAAGATCTTTTTCTCCTGGAACGTTTGCAAAATACAAAACAATTTGAGGATAACTGATGGTTCTGTTGAATGGGGTAGATGGCAGCTAGTGGCATTCATTCTTTCTGTTGAACCATAATGTTTCACTTTGACAGTATTTATATTCCTTTGAAACAGTAATTCACTAGGTATATTTGAACCCACTTCCCACGTGTTGAGTGTTGCATTCAATTTCTGGACTGTTTCAGTATGGAAGACCACCTTGGTGGCCCTCTGCTGGACTTGTTTCACTGTGTGTGTGTGTCTGTCTTGTACTGGGGAGCCCTAAGCTAGTTGCAGTTCTCCAGATGTGGTCTCACAAGCGCTGAACGGAAGGGACTAATCATCTCCCTTGACTTGGTGGCTAGTCTGGTTGTAATAAGCAGGATATAGTTGGCCGCCTTTACAGCAAAGACCACTGCTCATTCACATACAACTCGTCTGTCTGGACCCCCAGCTCCTTTCATGCTGAGCTGCTTTCTCAGCAGCTGCAGCGTGCTCTGGGGCATGGGGTTAGTCCATCTCAGGGGCAAGATTTTGCATTTACCATTTGAACTTAATGGGCTCCGGTCAGCCATTTTCTGCAGTTTGCTGAAGTCCCCCTGAATAGCAGCCCTGCCCTCCAGCATTTCGGCCACTGTCTCCAGTCAGCTATAATCTCAAACTTGCTGAGAGCCATCTGTCCCATCTTTCAGGTAGTAAAGATGTTAAATGGCATCAGTCCCAGCATCGACCCCAGAGATGCAGCACTACTAACCAGCTGCTAGCTGGTTGCAGCCCTTTGGGGTCTGGTTGTCCATCCAGTTGTCTCTTTGTCTTATACTCTATCCATTCAAACCGATTTTGCCAGTTTGGCTATAAGGACACTACGTGTTAAAGGCCTTGCTAAGCTGAAGGCAAACAACATTCACTGTGTTCTGCTTGTCCACAGAGCCAGTCATCTTATGACAGAAAGAGGCTAGTCAGGCACAACTTGACCTTGGTAAGGTCACCATCTTTTCCTTCAGGTGTTTGCAAATGGCTTCAAGGAGGATTTGCTCTGTGATGGTTCCTAAGTGAGGTGAGGCTGACAGGTCTTGAGTTCCCTGCATCTTCCTCCTTGCTTTTGCTGGAGGAGGACATGATGTTTGTTTTCTTGAGTCACCAGGAATCTCCTCTGATTGCCAGGATCTTTCAAAGATTATCGGTGGAGAGCAACCTCACAGTGGCATTGGCTGGCCAGCTGCCTCAGCACTCTGGGCTGCCTCTCCTCTGGTCTCCTGGCCTTGTGTATGTGTAGGTGTAGTTGGCCAAAGCGCTCCCAAACTCTTCCTCTGCCACAGCTCATGCTCCGCTTCCCCAGACTCTGCTACTAGGCCCGGGGACCTGGGAGGCCTGAGCAGGTCCTTTGCCAGTAAAGACCAGGGCAAAGGCGGCTTTGAGGATCTTGCTTTTTCCCATGTCCTTTGTCGCTAGGTCCCTGCTCCCTTGAGGAGTGCCCTCCCATTTTCCTTAGCCTTCTTGTTGCGATTCACTCATGGAAGCCTTTCTTGTTTCCCTTCACAGACCTTGCCAGTTTTGTCTCCTACTGTGTTTTGACGCTTAAGTCCGTCCCTGTGCCCTCAGGCAGTGTCTCTGTGTTCCTTGCTGGGTAGGCCATCCCTGCTTCCCCTGTCTCTGTGCTTCCTTCTGTGTGTTTGGGCTGATTTCCTTGTCTGTCCATGCTATCTCATGCTAATCCCTACACATTATAATGGACCATCTCATCTTGTCCTTTGAAGATCTGCAATAGTTCATAGAACACTTTACCTTATGAGGCAGTATCTCAGGGGTTCCTACCAAGAAATCTCTGAAAATGCTGCTCTCCTGATGTTTAGGGTGTAACTGGATTGCTTGTCTTGCTCAGTTGTTTCATGACTGCGTGCTCTGCAGTCTCATGGTTGCTGCAGCTGTCCCCATAAGTTAGCTTGTCGATCACCTGCATCAAGAAATGGTCTTCAGCACTCCAGAAAATGTCTGTATTGCTGACACCTTGCCACCTTGTCCGTCCTGCTGATATTGGGGTGGGTTAGGTCCCCTCAGGAATACCAGCTCTGAAATCGTGAGGCTTCCTCCAGTTGTCGAAAAAAGGTTTCATCTCTTCTGTTATCTTGATTGGGCAGTCTGTAGCAGACAGCCACCACAACATCACCTGTGTTGGTTTGACCTCTAATTCTGGGGTCTGTGAAGTAAGCCTTCTGGGCTTACTGGGGTCTGTGGCGTGCTGAAGCAAGATATGTAGAGTCAATGTACCAGCTTATTGGTTGTCTAGGCTTTCAGTGCATGTTTGCTCCTCTGCTGGCTTCTCCTTCACATGTAATGATGATATGCCTTCTTTTAGCTAGTGAATGTAATGATCGTTAAGGAGTGATTTCAGGTACGTGATGCAGTGAGATATAGGCACTGGTTTCTAGTTTTGTGACTTGAGGCAAACAGGCCAACTCCAGTAAATAACTTTCAACTGAGAACAGACTGAGATTTTACTTCAAACCATTTTGTATTAGCTAAAGACCTAATAGTAATTAGCTTTCAAAGGTAGATCTGATTTCCGTTAGCTTTATATTCTCAAGGCTGGCTATCTTTGCTTTAAAAAAAAAAAAACAAAAAAACTAGGAGACTTATTTATGGAGATAAGCTAAATTCTCACTTATTTCTTCCACAAAGTTTAAGAATATCCTCTCTAGACATCTGTTTGATTTAAAAGGCTAGTGCATGCTCATTGCTGTTCTTGCAGAGTAAGACTCTGTCCTAAGTGTTACTAAGGTTGGTATGTTGAGACGGTATTAGAGCTTGTGGCTAAATTAACAAGAAATCTTAGGATGGGGAGACTTCAGGAGATGTGTTCTGGAACAGTAATTCTACCTTCTCTTGAAAAGGTACAGTAAGCTTGGGCCCTGCCTACTTGGCTATATTCAGGAGGGAAGGAGTTTTCGTTGTCCCAGTGAAGGTCCACATAGCTGATTTTCTGTGATGAAATGTATAAATAGTGTAGGTCTAAAATCTGTGAAAGACCATTTTGGGACTGAATAAATTTTTTTTTTTTTGAGCTTGAGTGTCTCTTACTACTTTTTTTTTTTTTTTTGATTTGCTGCCAAGGCCAATATTTCAAGTTCCTGTATTCACCCTGAGTTGCATAGAATTCAGAAGCTTCTGCCTAAGAAGGCTTACTTCACAAATGCCTAACCTGCATTGGTTGGGCTTCACAAACAGCTGTACTGCTCAGCCTGGGACTTCTCCAAGCTTATGTGCTTAGGCATTTGCAAAAACACTGAAACCTGATGTGGTAGATATTTTGTTCCCTGAGTCATAGTTCAGAATTTAGGTGGTGAACTACCTAAATTCATTCTGAGGTTTTAGTAGCCATTTAATGCACAATACTTTCCTACAATGAAGTACCTTTCTCTAATTTCTGAAATGGGCAACAACTGTGATTTAAAGCAGAAATATAAGATAATATTACTTGATAAGATTACATTACTTGATTTATGATGTGATGATGCTGTATGATATTTGAGTCTAAAAAAATGCATTATCTTATATTAATGTCACTGTACAGAAGTAAACTGCTATTATTTGAAGTCATTGGAAAATGCATACTTCATTCCTTGTGTATCTAATTCTGGGCTTTTGGATACTGGTCTTTCTCTATTATTAATTGGTAACTTAGACTTGATAGACTGTACAAAATAACACTTTCTAATAATGTTAATGATGGGGTGGGAATAATTGCTTGGAAGCTGGCATTCTTCTGTAAAAACTTCTTATTTAGCAAGCTAATAAAAAGTTGCCTTCTTTGTCGTACACTGTAATGATTCCTTTGTTTTATGATGAAAGCTTCTCACTTATTTGCTCCATTTTTCATGATTCTTTTTGTCCTTCTGTCTTTTCCTTCTCCCTCCTCTGTTCTCTGCATTTTTAGAGAGGTATCTTCTCCTCCTCTTTGAACTGTACTTCTAAATGAAAAGCAATCCCTAAAACAATTAGAATTTCATAATAATGTATATGTAACCATCTCTTTTTTTTCTTCTCTGTTTGTAAACAGGAAATCTGTGTAGTTCGCTTTACCCCTGTAACTGAAGAGGATCAGATTTCCTATGCTTTGTTGTTTGCCTACTTCAGCAGTAGAAAACGTTATGGTGTAGCTGCCAATAACATGAAGCAAGTGAAAGATTTGTATCTCATCCCATTGGGTTCTTCAGATAAAGTTCCACATCATCTTGTGCCTTTTGATGGGCCTGGTAGGTACAGCATGGAATTTGGAACTTCGTTATTATAACACTCCCTAAAAGTATAATAGAAATTTAAAAGAAAAAGAATTTTATAAAATTATAGTTAATGCTTTTGTGAAAAATGCCAAGATAGTCTATTCAAATATGTCATGAATATTTCTTAGTGCTATATTAGTTTCTTTTAAAAGTATTGATTTCCAATTGTAAGATTATTTTGATGCTTTAAAAAAAAAATACCATTGCAGAAAAAATACTGAGTAACTTTGTTTTGTTTAGTATATTCTTCCTCTAACCTCGGTGTTACAATCGCAGTAAATTCAGTGATGCAAGTGACCTGTGATAGTAGTAATACAGAATTCCGTATAGATTTTGTGCCTTAAAAATAGTATTTTTCATTATTTGATATGTACTTACTCTTCACTAATTTATTGTTTTCCTTTAGTCTTCCAAACTAAAAAAAAAAAAAAAAATCCAGGAAACCTTAAAAGCAGATGGACAAAGAAGAAATGATCCTGAAATGGCTCTCAGTTGTTCTGCTACAGCTGGGTTCTTCTATACCAATTTATTTTGGTTGTAAATATTTGTGGATGATTTTTCCTTTTGCAGTAGTCAGGGATGAAACTAAGAGGGATAAGATACAGCAAAGGGAGGTAGAGAGAATTTGGCAATTGAAGGGAATGAGAACTAGGAGTAGGTAAAGCTGAAAGGGAAATCTTTAGATATAAAATACGAAAAAGGTAGGAAGTAGATTCATTGTGGATGGTGCAGCACTTCACATAGTTTATTTCCAACAGACCCTTTTTGAAGGCAGTCCAGTTAATGGAAATTTCTCTTGGGGTATTGTCCAGGTCAAATGCACTGATAGTCTTCTGTATTTCTTTGAGTCCTTTAGAAGAGCATCTGGTGAAATGACAGAATACTCATCAGGACTTACCAATACTTACCTGGCTCTGCTTTGTATGCTGGAGCATTTTTAGAGCATTTCTGCACATAAAGAAATCAAAATTACCCTGTACTAAGTAGCTCACTTTGAAGAATTCGGTTGTGTGTTGCTTGCTGCCAGGATGGAGGCACAGGCCCTGTAGGTCCCATTCTATTCTGAACAGCTTCAACTTGGGCCATTCAAAAAATAGTAAAAATATTTTTATATTGACTGACAAAGCACCACCTAAATTTACATTCATATGGCCATAATCATCTACAGGGAAAATAAAATTGTGGAAGAGCTTTATTTCACGTGGGAATTATCTGTGCAGTAGAGAAACTCTCCATTTGTGACTTATTGACTCTTGTGTCCCTTTCTGTAGTAATAGATCTGGCTTTCTGGGAAGTTGAAAAATTTTCAAATCATTATTAATTTTAAAGTATTTACTTGATTTTACATGCCTTTAAATAAAGAGATTGACCTTCTTTTCCATTTTTATCTAGATCTTTTTAATTGTTTTCCTTTTTAGGTAACTTATTTGTATTAAAAATCTACAAAAATGACATTTTGGTACTGCTCAATGCGATGTATCACTTGGATGAGCTGAGGATAAACTTACGTTATCATGTGCTGGATTCAGCTCAGTAGGACAAGGCCACCATTTGGAAGTGGGATGGGGAGAGGGTTGTTGTCCTCACATCCCACCCCAGGAATCTAAATTATTCAGAGCAAAATACATAATGAACAAATTTACCTCTTGGGAGATAGACAATACTATACCTTGAAACACAGTGCCTTCCTGGAATGAGGAAAGCATTTTGCAAAGTCATTCTAGGTAAACCTTTGAAGAAATATGTCTAACACAAATTGATCAGGAGACTGTGCAGCTACCAGTATGCTGTTAAAATTCTTTTGTTTTTTTTCCCCTCGTGTTTTGCTACCACTGTATTGGCAGATTATAGCTATCTTAGTCTAACATGGCGTTTAATTTTTAATTTTTTTTAAGTGAATAGAAGTAAACTGTCTTGTATTCTGTATTTCGAAGTTATAGTGGGATGGTAACATACTTAAAGCAATTTCAGTTTGCAGTTCTTGAAGTCATAACTTCTATGCTGGAATTACAGTTTTGATTTTTCATTACAAAACATTTAAATAGTATTGTAGTTTTTTTGCTGCATGTTGTTGTCTTGCTCACTTTACTCAGAAAACGTGTAGTGTTCTATAATCTTACTGTAGTGTAGTACCTCACTATGGTTTGTTCCAGTTATTGATGGAGATTTCAAATTTGGAGTTAACACCATAAAATTATTACTCTTAAAAATATTATAGAAATCATGTGAGTTTTTAAAATGATTGCTTTAACCAAAATGTAAATAGACAATTAATTGCTATTGTGACTTTGTACAGGGATTGAAGTGCATCGACCAAATCTTCTACTGGGATTGATAATTCGCCAGAAAATGAAGAGACAGATTACCGCTGTTGCAAGCGTTAGTAGTAGCTTTGCAGATGAAGTTCCTGAAAGTACCTTGAGTAGCTTGCCACCAGAGAAGAAAAGCAAGCCAAACAAACCTGAAGTCTCTCATAATGAATTGGCATTAGAAGAAGAAGAAGAAAATGATTTTTTTAATTCCTTCACAACTGTGCTACACAAGCAGAGAAATAAATCTCAACAGTCTAATATAGAAGATGTTCCTGCAGTTGTTGAACCTTTAGTGGAAAGTACCAAACATGAACCACCGAAGCCTCTCCGATTCCTTCCTGGAGTCCTGGTTGGATGGGAAAATCAGCCTTCTACTCTGGAGCTAGCAAATAAACCACTGCCAGTGGATGATATTCTTCAAAGCCTGTTGGGTACTACAGGGCAGGTATATGAACACAGTAAGTCAGAAGTGAGTCCCAGCGAAGACATACCATTGTTAAATGAGCAAGCAACTTTAAAAGAAGAAGACATGGATGTTGCTGATGTACCTGCTGAAGCGAGTGAAACAAAGGCTAGCTTGGATGGTGTACAGGAATCCACTGAGGCTACTGTAACAGCGGATGCAGCAGCTGTAGGCACCTCAAGTTCTGCAAGAAGTGCTGGAACTTTGATAGGCCTTAGTCTGAAGGGAAAACCTCCAGATGTTTCCACAGAAGCGTTTTTAGCAAACTTATCTGCTCAGTCACAGAATAAAGAAACTGAAGAAAGTAAAGAAAATGATCCGAAGTGGCAGTTACACGACAAGGAGAATGTTGCACAGGAAATCAGAAGGACCACAACTTCTAGCTTTTCTTCTTCCTCATCAAACGCAGGAAAAAAAAGCAGTGAGAACAATGTTAATGTAGGCTCTGCTGAAGGTACAACTGCTAATACTTCTAAATCTCCGCCATTTATTAATCTCAAAAGAGACCCACGACAGGCAGCTGGACGAAGCCAACAGACTAATGCTTCAGAAAGCAAGGAAGGAGATGGCAGCAGAAATGAAGACCGACAAAATGTTTCAGGAAATGACCAAATGGAATTAGAGAATAAGCAGCCTTCTGGAGAAAAGGGCTTAAACCTGTATCAAGGTGATGCACAAGCAAATGAGATGCAGTATAGTTCAACTGCAACAAAAGCAGATAATGTATGTGCATCACAAGCAGAAGATACCAAGAACTTGCAGGAAGATAGCTTGATGCAAAACATTGAAACGGTGAACTCATTTAGAAGAGGACCAGCAGCAACTTCATCTCATTTTGAAACAGAAAATTCTTCTCGTTCTGAATTTATTTCCAAAGGCCCAAGCCCTATTACAAGTGGCAGCTTCTCATCTGTTAGACCTCCACAGCACAATTTTCAGCATCCTAAATCTAATCCACCTGGATTTCAGTTTCAGACTCCTGCACCTCATAACTTTCCTCCACAAAACAGCCCTATGTTTGGGTTTCCTCCTCATTTACCGCCTCCACTTCTTCCTCCTCCAGGCTTTGGCTATTCTCAAAATGCGATGATGCCATGGCCACCTGTAGTTCATTTATCAGGTCAGCCACCACACTATGCCGGACCCATTGCACAAGGGCTACCAGTGGCTCACAAACAATCAAGATTTTTGGGGCCAGAAAATTTTTTTCAGAATAAAGACAGCAGGAGACCAGAAAGACGTCATAGTGACCCTTGGGGCAGACAAAAACAGCATTTGGACAGAGTGTGCAGCAGAGTTAAAAATGATCAACACAGACAAAGGTTCTATAGTGAATCCCATCACCAAAAGAAAGACAGACACGACAAAGAGTGGAACAATGAAAAATACTGGGAGCAAGATTCTGAAAGAAATAGGCGCAGAGACAGGAACCAGGAAAAAGAGAGAGAGAGGAAGAATAGAGAGGAAGGACATAGAGACAAAGAAAGATTGCGACCTCCGCACAATGATAGGGGTTCTGATGGAAAATGCCCCAGAGAGACTAGAAATCCAGAAAAAAAGACCGATAAGCCTAAAAGTGAAGAACAGGCTCATGAAAAGGATAAAGAGAGGGAGAAAAGTAGAGAGAAACATAGAGAACGAGAAAGTGAAAAGAACAGAGATAGGCATAGGGACCACAGTGACAGAGCTAAAAGCAAAAGGTAAAAAGATGCAGGCAGTCTTTCAAAATCCTATTTAAATAAACTGTTAGAGTAATGTCATAAAACTTTGTATAAAAAAAAAAAAAGCCTGCTAGGATTGTGCCATCTTTTTTTATTCAGTGTTGGTGTTTTGCAGAAACAAGTCTGTGTTTTGGTACCAATCACTGTACCAATACTCATCCTTTTTTTCATTATACCAACTATCACTAGAAGTAGGAGTTTAATATTTTTAAAAATTTTACATTGCTGTATATTCAAAATTTTAAAGATTTCTTTTATTAATATGCAATAAAGGCTTAGAAATTTTCTTAGCTGATGAAGTTGGCTTTAGTCAAGTATGCAAATAGTTGCTGCCTTTGGTAATTTGTGCTCTCTTCTGTTTTAAGATGCTCTGATAATTTTAAAGGTGAATTTCATAAATAACCTTCTTTTTAAATTGCACTGTTTTTAAAGACTGTAGCAGAGCCTCAGAATCCACACACGTTACAACAAAATATAATATCCTCGGTGGTGTGAAGAGTTCTTTTTAAATTATTCAGTAGTACAATAAAATAATTCAAGCATATTTCGTTAGTTTTTCAAGTATTTCCTAGGCATCTGAAGCAGTTTGTGACCAGAAATCGGAAGGCTGACCTGCTCGAATGTTATTGCTTTAAACTGCACTTGTTTTAATGAGAAAACATTTTTAAACTAAATTCTTCAAAATATGATTTGTAGTAGTCAGTCATTTTTCCCATCCTTTTCCATGCTTCAAAAACTTGAATACCTAAGCTTGTACATTACTTTGTGTTTTACTATCCTTTTTACTGTAAAATGTAAATATTTTAAGGGATATTTTGATTCTAAAACGATAAAACTTTCTCACATACTGTGTGTGTTTGATTTCATAGATGTGAAACAGTAGGCTAAATTAGTATAGTAAGCTGAGCTAGGTGTTTTGGGGGGAGGAGAGGGAGGAGCAGAAAAAGGTGGGGGCAGAGTGTTTGTACATTGGGGCTTTCAGTAAGTTCAGATTTTGTAGTGACTGACATCCACTGATTAAAAAAACAAACAAACAAAAAACCCCCCCAAAACAAAAACAAGCCCCAAATCTATTCTTACACTTTTTCTTCAAATACACTGTTTGTTTTGTTGCGTCTTTTTAAAGACAACAAAAATATTCCACCCCTGGATTTTGAGATTTACGGTACTATTTTTTGGTTGTCTGTTTTTATTTTGAGAACCTTATCTTATGTATGGATGTAGCATTTTGCACTTGGCTGTAGAAAAGCTGCTGCTTTCCGAGAAGATCTTCCCACTTTAACAGGCTAATTGTTACTGTTTTAAATTGTGAATATATTTAAAAGTCACATTTCATTTGGAGATACTGAACATAGCTTTATAGCCAAATTGGCTAAAATTAACATCAGAAAACTTGCACTAAATAAAGGTGGCAGAGTGGACTTTACTCAGTAATGTTTCTTAGGCTCCTAGTTCGGATGGCTGATAAGAAAAACCCTCAGTTCATTAGAAATTAGAAGCAATATTTGAACTTCTGAATTACTTGTAGCATGACAAAATGATACAATTAAATTAGCCTGCTCCAAATGAATTCCACGATCTGTGTAGCAGTAGTGCTATTGATTATGTCTGGTACTAATATGCACGTGTTGTGCTGCTTAAATATTTACACCAGGGTTCTTTAGATACAAAAGTGCACAGGAGATGTAAATTTGGTACCATTTTATGTGGAATCTGGTTATTTGTAATGACACTTGTTGGATTTATTTGAAATGATGTATATTACTGTTCAGCCACTTTAAGAACTAAAACTTAGAACTAACAGGCTCATCTGGAGACCTCCAGAAGATCCTTAAAAGAACCTTTAATCTTTCTATTGACTCTGTGGGGAAGGTAGGGAATTACTTTGGGAGGACTGCATTGTGTAAGTTAGGTATCCACAACAGTGGACTGAATCCTATCCTTGATGGTTTGTGTAGCTTAGATTTAATATGATTTGAGATGGACTAATTGTTTTGCTGTTGGAGTAAGTTTTTAAGTAAACTCTTACAAGCAGAGCTACTAAGTTTTTGTTGGTGGGGGGGGGGGTTGTTTTTTGGGTTTTTTTTTTTTTGGCCTGTCCCAAAGTAGCCTCCTCCCAGTCCATGGTTACTCGCAAATCTCAAGTTTGCGTGCATTTGTGCTCTAGTGATAACACTGGTAGCAGTGAAAATTGCATCTACCTATATCGAAGAGATAAGAGTGCCCTTGGTCAGAATTACCAGAAATATTTTGTTTAGAAAGAAAGCGTAGACATTTTCAAAGTTTTACGAGTGCTTAACTACCTGGCTGTTGTATTTAGAACCTTACGAGTGCCAGAGCAAAACAGCTCTTCAAAGACAATTTTGTCAAGATTTTAAATTAACAAGCAGAAACAGTTTTCCAGAGCTTGGTCTGGAATCCAAGTTGATCTAATGGGGAATAAATCTCCTTTCTACAGGAATAAAGGGTTTTGTCCCCTCTGTTGCCTTCAGCCACTCTCCCTCCAGCACTAGTGTTAGCTGGAAATGCTCTCATTGTTACTTGCTTTACACTGAATCACTGCTCAGCAAATAGACCGCAAAAAGCAGTGTGCACTGGTGGGGAACTGGCTGTACACCAGGAACCCCAGAGAGAAAAAGGATAGATCCAAAACATGCTTCCTTCCCAAGCGTATGGCCATAAAAGGCCTTTCTAAGAGGAAGACTCGGCAGCCAGCTCACAGACAAGATGAAGGCCAGTGGGCTTCGTGAGCTGCTGCTGTCTGCCGGGAAGTGGGTAGGGAGGTCACAGCAGCAAGCCTATCACTTGAGGGCTCAAAGAAGCTTATGAGGATAGAAGGCACCTCATAAAGATTGGGTTGGGTTATTAAAACATCTCGGGGTAGTTTCATCACCCTGCCTCAATTAACCTTTTGAGTCTTCTTTAACTGACTGTTGGCAACAAATTCATAACCACACACAAACTATGGTTAAGTGGAAAGTAATGTGTGTCACCTGGTCTTTTCTATACCTACAGCGTCTGCTCCTGATTCGCTTTATGTGAAGAAAAGGATTAGTTACTTGTTCCTGATCTGTATCCACTGAGGACTTACTCTGGGAGAATTTCCATGCAGCAACTTGATGGTTAAGAATGTGCTTTTGAGCAATAATAAAGTAAAAAAGGAATAGAAATCCATCACTATTATTTTAAGTATTTTATTTATACAGTAAGTCAGCAGGCAAAATAAGAAATGTAAATGTCATCTTAGATCTTGTGTTTCAGCACATGAAAATATAACTGATTTCTCATAGTTATTTTTATTGATCACTAAAGTGTAGACTATCACTGGGCTTTTTCAGAAGGAATAGAATTTGTGCGTTCATGTACTGAAGAGCTCTCTTTGCTTTTGAGATTATGAACTGACGAAAAATGTAGTCATGGAAATTCAATTTACTGAGGCTAAAACCTTTGTATAGTAAAATTTCAAAATGTTGGGGGGATATAAAACGTGGGGGGAAGTGTTCAAATATTCAGACAGGGTCGACCTCTGCTGGAGGACAGCAGCAGGCAAATATTTTTTATATCTGTACAGTAATTAATTAAAATACCTTTTTTTGACAAGTGGCATTAGGTAAAATGCAAGTTCATTTTAGTTATTCTACTTGCAATCTATTCCACCTGCAATCAAAAAGAGAAACTGGGAAAAGAATAATCTATTTCTTTATTTAAAAAATAATAATAAAGAAAATTAGGATTCTATCAAGTAATGTTACAAGGGGAAAACTTTCAGAAGGCCAAAGGAAAATCCAGCCAGCCCCTCTTTTCTTAATCACAGAAAATGAATATTCTCTTAAGCCATTTTTCATCTTTAGAAAAATGTAACATTTTTGTCATAGTGATATGCTTTTGACATAACGCAGTGCCAGTATCTAGGCTAGCTTCTCAGTGTGGCCAGTGAGCCAGGCAGAGAACTGTTCTGCAACTACACTGGTTTCAGTATTTGAAGTCGTTCCCTGTTCAGCCTTTCTCTTCCAAAATTATAAAAAAGAAGTAATGCATTTTAATAAAACGTAGAGTTTTGATGAAACAGGTAAGCTGTCTGTTCTCATAAAGTCAAAAAAATTAATACTAGATTGATGGTTGTTTTTCTAAGCTAATTGCTACCTATTTATCTGTTTACAAAACTATTTCCAGCACAATAAACCAAAAAAAAATTAGGCTTTTCTGTTATTTTAAAGTAAATATTAAAAGCTATCTGTAAGTAATTATATGAGTTAAAGTAAAATGTTTGACCATTTTTTGTATATGCTATTAATCTACAACATTAAAAAAAAGAAAAGGAATTGTAGTGGAGGGTCGGTATTACTAAGTGCTTTCTACATTGGTTCCTTAATCTTACACTGCCAGCTATCCACAAGAGACAGGAGGAAAAGGAAATTCATCTAATTACATCACTTTTTTAAAAGTTTAAATCAGATTTCCAACTAATTTCTGTCATCTCCATTATAAATGTTATAACCTTCTGCTTTCATTAGCTGAATCTTTTCAGAATCTTGGAAAAGCACAAAATCTTTAA